TGCGATTCATTCGAAATCAGATTCAGGCTTGTATATTTGTTGGAACGAATCAAGCTTTTGAAGAGATCAACCATCGAAACTTTCATCAACGATGCTCAAAGTCTCTTATTTAAATTTTTTTTTTTTTTTGGAGGCTAGATCAAAGAATCTTTAATGGATATTGTGCAATAATGGTCTAGGATCAATTTAGTCCAGGAATACTACTTTAAATAAATGAAAAATTATAAATACCAACCCCCCAAAAAACAGTTTACTTTCTAGGCATATAAAGTGAGACCCGCACATTTTGTCTAAAGCCAGCTCGACACATTTTATATCAAACAAGCACATTTTGAAGATAAGCCGGTCCTACACATTTTTATGTGGGACCGGCACATGTTGGATGTCAAACATGCATTAAAATAGAGGGTATTTTGATTAAAAAAAAAATCAACTCTTTTATTTTGGGATGGTTGGGTACAAAAATAAATAGCATTGGTGTGAATAATGTCGAATTAAAAGTTTTTTTTGGTGGTGGGTGGGTGGGGGAAAGTCCCCAGGAAGTACAATTTAGGGTTTGCACAAACATATTCGATTGTATATTGCACTTACGTCTCCACCACTTTGGTGGAGTTCTGTTCTTCCATCGAAGTCCACTTAAAACAAGGAGATATTTTATGTCCACAGCCTGCCATGGATGGCACATACAACAAATTGTATACAAATAACATCTCCGAGCATTGTATGCCGTCCGTGTGTGTATATAACTATAGCTGGTCAAGAGTCAAGACCACAAAAAGTATGTAAATCCTATCATTAACAAAAAAAAATTAAATATATATATATATATATATATATATATATAAATAAAGAAAAATTTCATATATAGGTGATGATAATAAGTCACTAATAGATCAATTAATTTCCAAATTATCCAAATTAGAAATAAAAGATCCCAAACCTAAAGAAAATATTATTATACAAAATATTTCGATAAAACTACTCAAATCCTTAATACTGCGGATGGAAGTAGACTATTTATTAAATACAAGTTATCTAATGCTAAAATTTGTAATGAAGGACATTGTTTTCCTATTCCATTTATTATGGACAAGGGACTCAGTCAGGCTGTAATCCTTGGCGTACCTTTCCTCACTCTGTTATATCCAATTACTATTTCCCATACCCATACAGGTGTTGAAACAAATACCCATGGTACCCCTATTAAATTTGAATTCCTTGATAAACCAAAAATCAAAGAAAATAATATTCTCAAACAAAATATCAAACAAAAAGAAGATTTTATAGGATCGTTACAACATGAAATCAAACATAAGATTATCAGTGAAAAACTCCAAACTAATGATATGATACAAAAAATACAACTCAAAAGTTTTATTGAAAACGAAATATGTAATGATCGACCAACCGCTTTTTGGCATAGAAAACAACATATTGTTGGATTACCATATGAACCAAATTTTAGTGAAACAAAAATACCAACAAAAGCTCGACCTATTCAGATGAATACGGAATTATTACAAACATGTCATAATGAAATTAAAGATTTAGTTCATAAGAAACTCATACGTCCCAGTTCATCTCCATAGAGCTGCTCTGCTTTTTATGTCAATAAAAATGCCGAACAAGAACGAGGAGTTCCACGATTAGTTATTAATTATAAACCTCTCAATAAAATATTACAATGGATTAGATATCTCATTCCAAATAAAAAAGATTTACTCGATAGACTCTTACATGCAATAATTTTCTCCAAATTTGATTTAAATCTGGCTTTTGGCAAATACAGATAAAAGAAGAAGATAAATATAAAACAGCATTTAATGTCCCTTTTGGACAATATGAATGGAATGTTATGCCCTTTAGTCTTAAAAATGCTCCATCTGAATTCCAAAAAATAATAAATGATATATTTAATCCTTTCTATAAATTCATGATAGTTTATATTGATGATGTTCTAGTATTTTCTGAATCTCTTGAATAACATTTTAAACATCTTCATACTTTCATTCACACAGTTAAAAATGATGGGTTAGTAGTCTTTGCTAAAAAGTTAAATCTTTTCCAAACAAAAATTAGATTTTTAGGACATAATATAAATCAAGGGACAATTATCCCAATTGATAGATCCATTCTCTTTGCTGATAAATTTCCTGACAAAATTTTAAACAAAACTGAATTACAAAGATTCTTAGGATGTCTAAATTATACAAGTGATTTTTACCAAAATCTAGCTCTTGATGCTAAACCCTTATATGACCGATTGAAGAAGAATCCTCTACCATGGACTGAGATCCATACTTTGGCTGTACAGCGACTTAAATTAAAAGCCCAAGAATTACCATTTTTAACTTTATCTAATCCTACAGCTTTTAAAATAATTGAATGTGATGCTTCTGAATTAAGACTTGGTGGTATATTAAAACAATCAGTTGATTCTAAAGAACAATTAATACGATTTACTTCCAAAGCATGGAATCCTACATAAAAAAATTATTCTACTGTGAAAAAAGAATTACTTGCTATTATTCACTGTGTTTGTAAATTTCAAACTGATATTTTGAACCAACATTTTCTTATTCGCACCGATTGTAAAGCCGCCAAAGATATTCTGCAAAAAGATGTTCAAAACCTTGTTTCCAAACAAATATTTGCCCGATGGCAAGCCATTCTATCTGCCTTTGATTTCTCTATTGAGCATCTTCACGGCTCTGCTAATTCTTTACCTGACTTCTTTACCCGTGAATTTTTGCAGGGGGGACCGTACTTTACCCACACTTTAATAGGGGTACCATGGGTATTTGTTTCAATACCTGTATGGGAAATAGTAATTGGATATAACAGAGTGAGGAAAGGTACGCCAAGGATTACAGCCTGGCTGAGTCCCTTGACCATAATAATATCATATCCGAGGTAATATGATGTTCAGAAAATGCTTTTTGTATATTTGATATTGTGTTGGCAATTGATGGTTCGATATTTTCATTTTCTTGGCGCATTATTTCTTCTTGAAGAGTCATATTATCATGTTCAGGGATTTTTGTTTTCCCTTTATCGTTGTCTGGTATAATAATATTTTCTTTAGGTTTTAATTGATCCATTAGTGATTTATTATCATCACTATATGGT